TAAATATAATACGAGAAAGTATAATAAATAAATAAATAAATAAATGAAAAGTTATAACAAAATGCAGAATGTTTAACATTCTATAATTTATTTCATTAACGATTTGAATTGGCTTCCGTTCAGAGCCGTCTTTTACCGATTACATGTATTTTATAAAGATTGCAATCTGAGAACTTTTCTAATTACGTACACATTTTAAATGATAATTCTCTAAATTAGTATCATTACGATCGAACAAGATATTGGAAAACTCTCAATAATTAAAGGAGCTGACTCTGCAATTCACAATAATAGACAGACTTGGAATAAATTGAGATTTTCTTTTTCTTTATTTTAAATATCAGAAGTCAACTTATTATTTTTCGCGATTTCTAAAAATATTATTTTTCTCGCAATGTATTATTTAATGTAGTATTTTTAACGTTATAATTATATAATAATATTTTACTTAATGCGAGAACTGTGCCGCGAAGGATTCTTTCAATAAAATAACTCATTGCTGATTAGCAGAGGTCTGGCTTTTCTCTTGGGGAACCCACCGAAATTAGTGTATTAGATTCCCTCCCATCTAATCTTCTTCGCCGGAATTTTTTTATTTATTTATTTTATTAAATGATGAAAATAAATGATAACGCTATACGACTTTTCCATTTGGTATATTTTGGACAACACAATGTAATTACACTAATATTAAAACAAAATATTAAACACATCTACGGAAAATATACCTTGAAATTCAGTTAAAATGTTATGTAATATAATTATTTTATATATTTTATTTGAATATTATTATAATCTTTCACTATAAGATCGATGTTCATATTTTAATTAATCTACCCATGCTTTAATTCTTTTCTAAGTTAAGATTTCTAATTGATAAAATATATATATGATAGAACTTGGTTTATTTTTAAATCATAAGAATTATTCAATATATTATAGGATTAGATATTTAATATGTTGTTTACGATAAGATTTCCTTTTACATTCTTATAAGGTTTTGCATTATATTCCTATTTCGTAACGCAATTTTATTCCATAATATTTCAATAAAGAATAGAATTTGAAAACGAATTCGTGGACTTTGACTTGTTGTAAACCTAAACTATAATATATAACAGGCCCTTATTTTTATCAAGTAATTATTTATGTGTAAAAATTTATAATTCGAAAAAAGAGAAGTTTTAAAGTTATATATTGTATTTTTATGAATGGAATTTAATATATTTATATATATTTCTTACGTAAGATTCGTGTATGTTGTAATCTGCTTTTAAAGATTCGTTGATATATTAATTGCCTGCGACCTAGAAATGGCTCTCGAAGAGATTATTGTATTGTTTGAACAATAAAATAATGACTCATTTTACAAATCGTAAACATGTTTTTATAAGTTTGACATTTGAATAAAAATTATTAAATTGAAGAATGTTATTTTTTAATTTTTATATTAATTTTTCCGAGGTAGTACGATAGACATTTTCAGAAAATATATTAATTATTTTTAATTTGTGTAATTTATTTCATTTCCTTCTTCTAGGTTGACTTTTAAATGAAATTCATGTGTTTTTTTTTGTACGCTTCATTAACAGTTTTTTTAATGTTACAAAAAATAATATTCTGCCGGAGTAATTATCAAATTCGTCAAATTTATGTATTCGTAACGAGAAATTCATTGCGTTTTATTATATATTTTTTTTAATTTTTTGTACTGGTGACACGTCTGTAAATTTTATTCGTGTCTTTAGAATAATTTTCTGTCATACTTTCGTAAAAGATCATAAACTACATTGATTTATTTAATCACTTTAATATAAGATATAATTGAATAATTAAGAAGAGCACGAGTCGGATGAACGTTTCCTTATTTTCCCCTACGTAAACAAATCTTTCGGAAGAAATAACGTCAGAATGACGTCACGAAGGCCCCAGCTGTTTCCATGACAACCGGAAAAGGTAAGAAGTACAATATCGAGATCGATTTGGAAGAATTTCTAGTTAAAATTCAATAATTTTAGCAAATAAAAGAAATTTACCAGATGTATCCTGTATACATCAAAGTTTATTATTACTCCATATATATTTTTTAATAAGGTGCTATCGATTGACGTAATAATTTAGTCGGCGAGACAAGCATCCGACAGACTCTTGGATAATGTCCAGATTGATATCAAAGAGTGGAAAAGTGCCAAACATTGCTCCAATTACAAAAATAATCGTATTTAATTGATGGAAACAATATTTATTGCGTATGATTTTGTTATTAGTTGACAAAGTTTAATTATCAAAAGAAAAATGGAATGATTAATTTCCAGCATTCGCTAAAAATATGCAATTAATGTCGGATTAACGAAAGGAAGAAATGTCTGCAGTTTGCTAGAAATAGACATTTTACAGATTTTATTTGTTTTTGAAGCTCTAAAAAATCGATTTGTTCTTCGATTCGAATCGATTTACAGATAAAAAAAAAATCTAGTAATTTTTTTTAAATTAAAATTTCTTCATTCATTAATATTATTGAAAGTAAAATGTAAACGAATTTTATCCGGATTTGACAGGATTATTTATTTATTTATTTATCATAGAAACTGAAGAATTAAGTGTTATTAAAGCGAGTTATATCTACCTATTATTGATTATATCGGATGAAGTTTCTTCTGATTTTGCTTCAAGAGTGTTTATTGTCATTTTTATCGTTAGTGCGATGTTATCTTGTACCTTGTATTGTCTTTTTTATTTTTATTTCTCTTGTCGTGTTCTCTTTACCTTTTCATCCGTCAGATATATATTTCTTTCTTTACTCTATTGTATTGCGATTGTCCATTTTTTTCTTCTTAACACTCGACCTTTTCTTCGTTCTGAGTACATAAAATAAAATTTTATTAGGCGCTTTTAAATTGTATGAATATTTAATTGTCCAAAAGTTCAAAATAGATTTACTTAATTCAGATTTATGTTATTTTAAGAATTAAAAAACGCTTCAAAACTCGGTCTTGACAATTTAAGAACATCGTAAAATTGAATTTTGGGGAATTTGCTGGATTATAAAGATTTCGTGGGTAGATTTTCAGGATAAGAACATCCTTGTATGTTTATATTTTTAATACAAACATGCAATTGATAAAAAAAAAATGTATTTAAAAATAATTTAGAACCTTCATTTAATAAAATATATACCGTTTAAATTAAATTAAACTTTTGCTTATATTTGTTTTTTGACCTTCTATCGATGTATATACATCGATAGAAGGTCAAAAAACAAATATAACACCTAATACCTTTACTCACAATATACATCTATTCATGGCTTTAAGAACTTCATAATATAAAAATATTGATCTTGAATACGGGGAGGGTGGAGTGTAGACGTGGATTTTGAAAAGCGCAATAATCTGTCGAGATTTTACTCTCTGATAATCTACTAATTGCATTTGATGTATTTGTCTGCCCACTCACAGACGAATAAGTTCTATGTAGAAATCGCACTCTTCTTTTTTATCTGATTTGGCGTCAACCACAATTCTTACATATTTAATACTTTAATATCGGTGATGAAGATGTCAAAGATTAGTTTATTTTACAAAAAGATTAACGTTAATAAAAGATATTTTTATTTAAAATAATATATAAAATATTTTATTTTGTATGTTAATTTTTTTCGCTCGATTTAAAATCAATAAACTTTCCACAATTTAATAATGAAGTTGCTTAAAAATATATTAAGCTATCTTTTATTATTATTATTTTAACTATCGATTTTTTAAAAATAATGTAAAATGCATTTTGATTATTTTTTAGAATAATTGGGTGGACTTTTATGGATTATTTTGATATCGTATTTATTCACATGAATATCGATTTCTGTATTTAAATTAGACTTTTTTTTAGGTCTACAGTTATTTTTTTTCTTTCTGGCATTTTATATGTTGTAATAAGGCATTCGTGTGTGATATCTCTTCATCTTATTTATCTTCTTTATCAAGAATGCATTCTGATGGTTTCTTATTTCTAACATAAAAACAATCTTTAAATCTATGAAAATAAATCTGTTTTCAGCCGTTGTCACGTATATGCTTTTAAATAGATGGAATTATTTAGCTTGGATTTTCTCCAAAAGTCATGAAATTCGACTTAAGTTCTCTCTTAACAATTATTCTAAAATCTTATTTTAAGGAATTTTATGGATAAAATCATCCGAAAAATGTTTACTTATATAAAAAATTTAAAAATATATCAATCCTCAACTTCTCTTAAACTTATAATTATATAAATATTATATAACATAATATAATCCGAAACACGAGGGGTCAAAAGTGAAAAGAAAACATCTGCCCAGACTACACGATTTTATTCACTTCAAGGTTATTTAATTTTTGAATCACGATCGAAAGTTAAAATCGTTTTATTTAGTTTTACTCGGATATAACGAGAGTAACGTAAGATAATAAAAAATTGCGAGAGAGAGAGAGAGAGAGAGAGAGAAAAGAATGAAAAATTTATCCATTTAAATAAATAAAAAGGCAAAACTTTTATTATTACATTTTCTAAATGAATAACATTTTTCATCAGAGAGAAAATTAGTTTTAAAATATTTTCGTTTCTCAGCTTTACTTTAGCGACATTCTTCCAATAAGTTTAAATATATTTCGATCCATGGACTTAGTGAATAGTTAAGGAACTATTTTCCAGTCGAATGAAATGAAATAAATCACATTATCGCAACCATCTCTTAGTTATTCTTTAACCATTTAACGGAGACATTCTGACACGCAATGGCACTATTCATTAATATTTAGGATGGATTTCAAAATATTCTTCTTGCGAAACGACTCATAAAACTTACATAACTGTCCTAAAGCGAAATTTATATAAATGGCCAATAGAAACTCATCTTAATATTTTATGACTTCCATTTGTAAATAATGTTTTTCAGTTTGCAGAATGCCCCAATTCTACGATATTTAACGAATGTTCATTGTTGTTTTTTTTCCATCTGGCAGAGGTATTGTGTGTGGCAGTAAAAGACATTCGTTTACTATCCGACAGCAATAAGACGGAATATGCACTGCACGGGGAGGGCGCAACTCTAACTTGTGACTATGTTATCGAGGGAGAAGCGGAGAAGGTGACGTCCGTCAGATGGAACAAAAACGGTCGCGACGTGTATGTTTGGAAATGGAACCAACCACCGACTGCCTACGGAGTATTCGAGGGTCGAGTGGACTTAAACAACAACTCACCCGGAACAATTTACATCACTAAAGTACATATGGAGATGGAGGGGGAATATACCTGTAAAGTGCAGACAAACATTAAATCTGCAGAATACGATTTCTACTTTACTGTTATTGTTGGTGAGTATTATGAATTATTAACAAAATAACTTTCAGACGATCGATCGATCCTGGATCAATATACCCTTTTAAATATACGATTTATTGATTTTTCGCTTTGCCGTAGATTCGTGTAAAGAGAACGACTGGGAAACTCACACGGATATGATAACGTGCACGGAGCGAGTATCCATGAAATGTCGTGGAATGTTTCCTAAACCATCGCCCGCCTGTGGAATATATAATGAACTGACCGGAAGTTACTTGATCAGCTTGACATTCGATAGGGTTATGGTTTCCGATAACGGAACATACGACATCACTTTTTCCAAATGGTTCAACGTTCGCGATTGGTTGAATTACACAGATATATCTTTCCGTTGTTATGTCATAGTTCTAGGAACTAAATGGAGAAACGGAATACGTCACAAATTATTTGGCGGTAAGTATAAAGTAAAATCCTTAAATTCGACTTGTATTTTAAGCATCAATGTTTAGTAGAGAAGAGAGATTGTAAGGCGCAACATTTTTGTTTTCCTCTTAGATCCGGGATGTCTGTCGTATCCTCCGGTGATCGAAAATGGTTACTTCAACATATCCGAAGAAACTAGTTGTTGGGGGATGCCTAGAGAAGGGGCCACCACCACTTATCATTGCCTGAATGGCTTCAATCTGATCGGAAACCCAGTTCTAAAATGCAGAAACGGAACGTGGTCGACGGAAACGACAGCTTCTGAATGGAAGAAACCGCAATGCAGTACGAAATTTATTAATAAAATACAGTTATTTGATTTAATATTCGTGTTATTCAAGTCAAATTATTTTTGTTCAGGTAACGGAGGAGCATCTTTTCCGACCTCGAATGTCTTAACCGTGGTATTTGCTGTGATAATTCTGGTTCTACTGACGTAACATCACCGATAAAAATCCGACAAGACAAGTACAGGCGGCTCACACGTCACAGTTTGAAGTGCCGACGTCATAGAGGGTCGTGTGATCGTAATTCCGGTTTTGCAGGAAGAAATCGTAATCGGTCGATAAAGGACCCACAACAGATGTTTTATTCGACGTTAAACGATTCAGGAATTAAAATAAGATTTTCTTTGATTTGATTAACAAAAAATTGAAAAATGTCATTGTTTATTGACTAGGAATGAGTAAAATCTATGATGATTATTATTATATTTGTTTATAATTAATATATATATATATATATATATTTATAGTAAATATTTGGGTTTATATGCAAAGGTGAAGTTTATCGATCATGAGGATTATTATTAATTTAAATATCATAAAATAGTTTAAAGCAAATAGCAGACTTTTTCTATTGTTTGTGTATATTGTAAATAAATCATGTAAAAATGTATATTGAATGTAAAAATGCAAAAAAATATATATATATAATATAATGTATGCATAATATATAAAATGTTACTTTCTATTCTAAATAGTTTTTGGGAAATTTCTTTTTAATTTTTTGAAATTAGAATTCAATTTACATTCCAAATTGTGTCATATATTTGCCTTCCATCGTTTTATCAACAATTTCTGGTTTTGTGAAGCGATCCTGTCACGATATACTCTGGTTCTACGTTTCCTACAATTTCCTGTCTGTGAAAGTAATGAAAATGGGAACAAATGACAATATTTAACTGCCCGAAAGCACGTGATTGAAAAGTTTTCAATTATTTATAAAACTTTGTTGGAGTTAGACAATCCTCACTTCGGTGATGAAAAATGAAATAAAATTTTATTTTAAAAACTTGTTGTTTATTTATTTCTCTTTCTCAAAGTTATTTGTTTTTTGACTGTCATATATAGCCTATACTTTTATAATAAAAACATAAATTTATACGAAAATCAAGTTTCAAGAAGTTCTAAGTATAAAAACTGAGCAATATGTGCCTTTTCAATTAAAAAAAATAATAAAATAAAGTACTTAAAAATACTTTTAAAATTCAAGAAGAATTTTTTTTTTATTAATAGACTTATAAATAAAAAATTCAGAAAATTCTGAATTTAAAAGTTTCGCATCATGTATATATCTAATTTCAGCAGTAGTATGGGTCGATCTGTATGTCTTACCGGCTCTATAAATAATAAGAATCGTATATAATTGAGGAAGAAATTATCGACAGCTTTCTAAATTTATTCGGAATTGTTGAGATTCACGAAATTACATATTATGAACTTTTAAGTTTGCGATTCGTTTAACATATATTTATTAAAGATATTGAAAAAAACTTTTAAAGGAAATGATCTGTTATAAAGATCAAGCTTAAAAACAGATTAATAATATATTGTATGGACTATTACATATATCTTTTACTTCAAAATATTTGTAACATTTGGAATTTTTGAGACAAAAAAAAAAAAAAGTATATTTTCATATAAAACTGTTAATAATAATATTTGGCATATTGCTTATGCATGCAGCGATTATATTGTTTAGAGTAGTAAATTCTTCATATTTACATATCTTTAATGTTACATAAAATATTTGAATATTTTTTTATTTTTCGATGCGAAATCCGAATGTACAGTACTGTATAGTTTTTGGAATTATTAAAATAAAATCGCTGTTTAAATAGGATAAATTTTTATTTTGCAATCAGTATTTATTCAAAGTAATCATTTCGATATAAATGTCCGCCGTTTAAATACATATTTAAGTCAAAACATTTTTTTTTCTTCAAAGAAAACATTATTTACGACAAAAACTTTCATTTAAAACGCATTTAGTTTTTATTTTCTTTCGTTGTCGAAATGGGGGGAGAAAATCCTTCTCGATTGCATCGTTTGTGATACAGCGACTATCTATAAATATACATCGTTGAAGATAAATGGCTTGAAATTATTCATTTTACCTTTAATTAAACAAATATTGATCAAAATAAATTAATCAACTTGCTATATGAAACGTATCCTAAGTGAATATTTCAATAAAAAGTTATTTAATTAATTTTTTATGATAGTTAAAATTTACTGTAAAAGAGAAGTAATAAAAAATATGTAAATCTATCTTATGCAATTGGGTATTTAACTTCTCAGCAAGAGTAATCAATTTACAGTTAATTAAAGAGAGACTTTATTGTCAACTACAATAAAATTTTGCTTTATTACGTTCATTAATGATCCATCAATAATTTAAAGAATGACATCTTATTTAATAACGATAATCTGTTTATTTTTTATACTCGAAAGTTAGCTAAAATATCCAAATATTTAAATAAATTTAATAAATATTATTCTAAAAGTCTAAAAGTATAATTTTAAAAATATAAATTATTCAGCATTGTAATACTAATAGTAATAATAATGAAATATTAACATATTTCTGCTGCTGCGATATCTAATTTAAGTAGAAAATATCCCAGAGAAATAGTGGTTCCTACCTCTATAAAATTAATGTTGTTTAATAAAATAGAATAAAATCTTTAAGACTGATTTTTATTAATAAAGACATATTTAACGTATTTCATTTGTTCAAAAATAAAAAATAAAAGGCAAAACCCCCGGGTTCCATACAAACTATACACGGGCCTGATCTCATCTATATATAAATAAGCTTTATTCATTTTAAAGTATGATTAAAATTAACTTGTTTTCAGGAAGAATATTAAAGTATGAAACCAAGCCGGTTATGTTAATACAGGTTCATCAAAAAAGAATGCTTTGATTTTAAAAACTTATTACTTAAAATATATTAAACAATTCGAAATGGTTGAAGTGTTAAAATGTAGGAAATTTCTAGTTTTTTTCTTATTTTAGTAGGTTTCGACGTGTGTTCTATTTGACGCGAAGAAACTATTCGATCTCGTGCCAAATATGCTCAATGATGTATGTTACCATTTCCGGCTGCTGAATCCTATCGCTCAGGTGACGGAGATCACGAATCTTTAATCACGATATAGCATACACGATATTCTTGAAATAAAAATCTATAGGGATTTCTGGAAAGCCACGGGATTGCTGCATCCCCCAATCCATGTGTTCTGGAACAGTTTGTTTAAGGCATGTCCTTTTTCGATGATTCTATATATTTTTTTCAATTCCAGAAATTTATCTTTTCTTCCATTTTTCCTTCTTCGAACATAAATTAGAAAATAGAAATACATTTGATCATTTTTCTCACTCATCAATTGACAATCATTGTTTTTAATTAATAAAGAAAAACAGTAAAATTGTTGCTTAGTTTAATCGATATGGATAAAATTTTGAATTCCTCTAATTTTATTATGGAAATATTCTGGGATATTAAGAGGAAATCCTTTATAATTTGTAACTAAAATAAAATGTTATCATTTAATAGTATCTTGCTGTTATTTTTTTAAAGAAGTTGAATAAGAATATGTATTCATTTTTCATCAAAATGTATTTTGTTTCACTCAACCTATCAAGATTCACCATTCCTCCGTTAATAATAAAACAATTTAATTGCATCACGTACATTCACAGATATATATATATATATATACAAGGTATATATTATCGTAGAATACAAAAGATAATATATGAAATATGAATGTAATATAATAAATTATAAAAATGCGACAAGTATGACATTACAAAACAACGAAATATACCTACCTCTCATGAATTTCTCATGAATAATAAAAAAGTTTTACGCGTGATGATAGAGCTAAACGGGATACATGTGAAGTTTTTCTTGAACTCTTTCATCCAGATATTAAGAGGGCCTTTTTTCTAGTCATTGCGGTTTCAGTTAAGCCCCAATGACCGACCAGATAATGAGGGATAGATTCTGTATATTCGGGTGAAACAACACACGAAAATGCTCGAGGATTCGACCCAGAATTGAACCCGATTCCAGAGTGATAGACATTTTTATCTCTTCGACTATACATCTATTACATAGGCTGTGCTAACTATAAATATAAAAAATAATTTTTTTTTTCAATGTAATAAATAAAATACTATAGTGAAAAGGAACGTCAAATATTTATTCGCACACCGCATTCATTCTCCAATTAATTTTTTATTCTATGAGAATTAATAAGGCTGAAATGCAAATTTTGTTAAAGGACGTATCATTTAAAAATGATACGTACTTTGAATTGAATAGAAACAAAAATGCCTTGTTTGGCATATGAAAAATATAACAAACAAGGCATTCCGGTTTAATTAACTGTTTTTCATATCGCTCATCAGTGTCAAGTGGCTAACTACTAAATACTACTGGTAGTTGATTACAGGTTCGGGTCTTGCCAACGGACTGGCCACGTGAAGTTTTTCGGTTTTCTTCAGATGTCTAACACCAAAACCAGTTTCTCATAAAAGTTCTCCCGGGAAGAATCTCCCTTGGCAGATCGCCTATATGTTGGATTATCTCACTCCACGAGTCCGAATCCGAATTTTTCAGATCAAGTTATTGTTTCGAAATGATAATGAAAAAGTACTAAAAATTAATGATCAGTACTTTATCATTTTTAAATCTTTAGTGTTATTTATTTTTAAGAATTTGAAGAGAATAAATACCAAAACACCGATAATAAAAGCTGGTTTCTAACCCCGATAAATATTTACTTTCTTGATAGAAATTGTTTGTTTAATGTAGGATTTTTTAATTAAACACTAGGATATGCCGTGATTTTTTCGTATCGCGATATAATTGAAGCGGAGTCGGAAGGAAAGAAGAGATTCCTGCACCTGTTAGGCACGGAAGAGGCGATTCTTGTACAGTACCTGACGGACGCAGACAGGTGAACTGTGCACTTGCCGCCACAAAAGAGGCTATCTTCGTACCTGCAGGTACAGGAGACACGATCCACGAACAAAGCAATGGATGGCGATTGCTTTGTTCTTATGTTTTGTTCGTCTTTCGCACCTATTTTCCGTTAGATGCATGTAATATTGTTTTTATTTTTGATCCCTAGGCCTAAATTCCATTAGGTGCGCTCGTCGCATCAGAGAGCATGGACATTGTCACTACATTGTTCACCTTTGTATATCGAAAACAAAGTCATGGATTCCTATTTTTACTTTTCTGCTCTGTTATAGATAAGAGAAGAAAAGTATGGCTATCGGCCAAAAAATGCTCTCCGAAGATTTTTACATTTTTGAACTTGGGAACCTTGAAACGTCGAGAAATGCAAAAACACTCAGAGTTTTTTCTGTACGTGTGGATGTTAATGTGTATGTGTATGTATGTGAGGCACGATTTTCTTCAAAGTATTTAAAGCTTAATAACTTCTGAGCTTTCGAATATTTCTGAAATTTTGCAGGAAAGTTTGTGTATTAGAAAGATTCATGCTATTAAATTTTGGTGGTTTAAGATCGAGGAGATGGGCAGATAAAGGTGTCGTATCGGTTTTACTCGATATTAGCATTTACAATTTTTTATAAAATTCATCCCTATTCTCAATATTAATTTTTTTACCATTATATATAATAGTTAAAAATGTAAACAGTTAAAATCAATTATATAAGTATAATTCTAAAAGTTAAAAAAATTTTTAGAACAATTATTCGAGTACTCAATCAACAAATATGGATATATTAGGAAAAGTATAAATACAGTAAATACCTTTCTTGCCATATTTTGTCCTCGAAGTTGGTGTTGATGAGTTATACTCGAATAATTTTTCTAAAATTTTTTTAACTTTTAGAATTATACTTATATAATTGATTTTATAGATATTACCGATCCCATTACTGAATTTTATTTTATATTTTTAATAATATGTAAACAGCTTTTTTAAATGAAATATCGTAACAGATAACGCCATCAGAATGTTAAATGTTTCCGAAAAAGTTAAGCGAATCATTGCTTGATTTTTTATATTTAAATGGACCC